GTAGTGTTCAATATAGATTGAAGCTCAACATCAAGAAGACAAAGATTCTCACCATTGGGTCAATTGGCAGCACCATGATAGATGGAGAAGAGATTGAAGTTGTTAACAATTACAGTTTGCTCGGCTCAGAATCAACACTCAGGAAATAAAAAGATGAATTTCACTGGGGAAAATCTGCTGTCATGGACCTCTCCAAAGTGCTAAAGAGCAATGATGTCAGTCTACAAACAAAGATGTGCCTAATCCAGGCCATGGTCTTCTTAATTACTTATATTATGCTTTGGAGAGCTGGACAATGACTACGATGACAGAAGAATAATAGATGCCTTTGAGTTGTGATGCTGGACAAGAGTCTTGAATATACCGTGGACTGCCAAGAAAACAAATCAGTCTGTCTTGGAGAGGGTGAAAACAAGTCTCTTCTTGGAGCGTAGGATTTTGAAGTCCCGCCTCACTTACTTTGGGCAGATGGCCAAAAGATGTCTTCCTTGGAGAAGGCCATCATGCTCTGAAAGGTGGACAGACAGCACAGGAAAGGAAGACCCCAGATGGGATGGATTGATACAGTAACTGGGGTGATGGGGATTAAGTGTGTTGTGATACAGGCTCAGGACAGGGAAGGGTTCAGAGCTTCTGTACACAGGAAACTCACTGGAACATAACAACAGTACTTCCTAAACAACATGCCTCTGGAGATTCTATGAACTATCATATCGGATGTTGTTGTTAAGCACCGTTGAGTTGTAGACAACTTACAGTGACCCTATGAATGAAAGACCTGAACACTTGGAAAACTTTCATCATTTCTCCAATTTCATAGGGTTTCCGGAGGCAAGCTGTTTCAGAAGTGGATGCCACTCCTGCTCCCAAGCCTGTCTGAATGGGGAGCTCCACCAAACACTGTCCACCATGGGTAACCATTATCACATTTGACACATGAGTGTCACAGTGTTTAGCATCACAGCAAAAACAATTAAAAACAGGCCTGAGGGCTGCAGATTAAAATCACCCACATTTGGCTTGGTAGCATCACTTTCTGTCCACTAGGCCAACAGATCACAATAATGAATCAATAATAATGAAATAGTAACACAATAAATAGGATCAATATGGAAACTCAGTCATGGCTGTTGAATCAGAACCAATTCCTAGCTGACCCTCTAGTGTGTTTTCAGAGGCTGTAAAGTGCTTGGGAGCAGACTCTCAACTTTCTCTTGTCGAGCAGCTGGTCGATTCAAAGTACCTGCCTTTAAACAGCAGTGCAACATGTCACCCACTAAGCTACCAAAGCTCCTACTAATAATATTAGTAAACACTATTGATATGATAGTATCAGGATGGGTGGTGAAGAGATTGAGATTGTTCACAGCTTTAGTTCGCTTGGCTCCACAGTCAACATTCTTGGCACCAGTAGCCAGGAAATTAAAAACC